TGCAAAAATGAAAAGGCGGGGCACAGGAAAGAGATCAATCCTTTAAAATGAGGATCAGAGGTGTGATAACTAGGTCGAATGATCCGTTACCAAAAGGAAAAACGGATTGTAAAATATGTGATTGGCAGTGCCACCCCAGCAAAGGACAAGATGGTACAGATTTCATGCACAAAAGACACATAGACTGGTAGCTGAATCTTATTTCGGTGCTGATATTGGGACAGCATCCTTCAAAGTGAACAGCAGGCTAGCTTAGAGAATACAGGCCAGTCATTTATCACACAAAATTCCGCCTTCCTACGTGGTGCGGTTGCGCCACAACATTCACTGCACAAGGGTGGAGTCTGACTCTGCTTAAGGTAAGGGCTGTTTCCAAATACACCACAGCCAGCACTTTTACAGGAATAGCTGGCAATAGCATGAAATGTCTGGTGAGGAAAGACGGTTTACTTTTCTCCAAATAGATGAGCATTTTCCAAATACTTTCATATTCCAGGAATCTGATAAAGTAGACAACGGACCACAGAAGCTCAGCCAAGTAAAACTTCTTGGTCTTTAAAGTATGGCAAAACTCGTTGTTGTTCCGACTTTCCATTCTTGGGGGGGGGGGAACCATGTCTTAAGGTCTACATTTAATCATGGTAATCTTTTTAAATGGTGTGCGCACGCATGGATATGCAGGGGCTACAGCTTGAAAATATTACTTTCTCCTTTTTTTGCTATAACTCCTAGAAACCAACACAGTCTAAAACTTTGCTGGCTGGAGAATTCTGGGTGTGGTAATAAAAAAACAACCCTACAACATTTTCAAACATATTCTGAGTTTTTATTTCTGAGATTTTCAAGATTATATCTCAGCTCTGTTTTTTTCTGTCACTGCCCACCATTCAAATAAAAAGCACGTCATACTTTGGCATGATTAACATGCATCCGGGACAAATTTCTCTGTGCCCAAATACTCAGGTTCCTGTGCTTTACACTGCTGTGTGACATCATTAAAAGCAGAAATTCAACTGGAGAAGCAAGACAGGGATAGGAAAAAGCTCTTCGGAAGTCTGGGAATCTTGCCAGGAAAAAAAAACCACACACACCAGTAATTAGCAATGTAACTTGGAATTGCAGATTCAAAAGAAATACCACTACCATGATAAGATTTGCAGGAGAGCTGCCAAAACGACACCCTACATGGTAGTCAATAGCTGGGGGTATAAACAAACGGCCACACCTTCATCTGTCTGCACACAAGGTTAGTAAATCAACCTGCAAAATCCAGGATCGCTCACAGAATCAACAGTAGAGATTACTAAATTTTGGTTTCTACTGTTGTCATGCATGAATTTTGGACGAGTTCATGAGGACTAAAGAGGGGATGGTTTGCATCTCTATCCCACTTGATTCCAGTGTCTTGGGATCTGCTATTAGCACCCCCAAGGAGAGAGCTACATTCTAGATAAAAACAACAAAAACTCCTTCAGACTCCAAACCAAGAGTGGTAGTAGATGCAAAAACTGAGCGGGATCCTGCATCTTTCATACTTGTTCAGAAGAGGGGATTTTAGGCACTGGTGCTCACATGACAAGCCTCATGGGCTAAAGATCCCTCTCCTAAGCAGTTGCTTAAAGTGTGGAAATCCTGCCCTCTTTTTGCATTTGGCCATCCTCATCCCTGAATCGTGGTACTATTGCAGCCGAGAACTCATCCCTGGACATGAAGGGGAATATGGTCCAACACATCTGGATTGCTCCACGCTGGAGGAAGCTGGCCCAGTGGTCACCAAGGGTAGAAGCTTTTGCTCATTTGAGAGTTAGCCCCACTAAATTCAAATGTAGTTCTGTATCTAATATCCTTGATATTCGATATAGAACTATATTTTAACCTTAAACACAGATTTAATTAATTAATTATATTTAAAATATTTTACCCCATCTTTCTCCCTAAAAAGGCCAAAGACAGCTTACATCATTAAAAAAAAAACCCTGATAACTATGCTTTTTTGCTGTATCTCTGCCCACTGTGGTTCCTTATCTACCGTGGCCTCTTCTTCCTCGATGATAAATAATAACAGATTTGTTGTGGCCTAAGTTTTATGTACCAAATTCATGTGTGTCTCAGCATGGTTATTATCTGTGAAGCCACATCTGACTTCTAGCAACCCTAACAGGGCTTTCAGAGTACATGAGATGTTGACTAAGTGCTTTTTGCCCTTACCAATTCCCAGTCGCTTTTTCATGCTTGAGGGGAGCTTTGAGCCCAGAAGAACCCCTGCATTCTAGTCCAATACTCTACCCACTACAAACACCGCACTGGATACAGTACAGGATACAGCTTGGGAAAGGGGTCTGCTGCTTGGGAATTCTCTAAAATGGAAACCAAAAAAAGAGAGGAAGTTTTCCAGGCTCTGATCTACATCATCTATGCAGGACTCGATCAGTTGGGAAGCTGAGAACCCCGGGGGCCCGGCCGAAGTGCCTCTGCTGCTCAGGGCACCCTCGGATAGGGATACAGAAAACTGCTTTGCACCAGACCCCATCGTTGATCCGCCCTGCCCAGCAGCGTCTACCGCTAAAGCGCTCCAGGGTTGCGGGAACTGGCCTGCAGAGATGACCCTTTGAGCTGGAAGCATGGGGGGGGCTCAGACCCCCCCCTGGTGTAAGACGCCTATTCTCCCCCGGAGCGACGTCCTCCCCCAGAGGCTCTCCCCCTTGGCACTCCGGCCACGATCCTCCCGACCCGGGAAGGCAGGCGGCTCACCTTCCTCGACTTCCGCGGGGGCTGCGGTCCTCTCCGCCGAGCCCAGCCTTCCCTGGCTGCCCGGGAGCTCTTCGCCCAAAACCGGCGCCGTCTCCGTCTCTTCCTTCTCGGCCTCTTCCTCCTCCGTTTCTCCCAAGAAGCCCTTCAAGAACTCCTCGATCTCCTGGTCCGTCAGCACCGACTGGCCCTCGACCCGGGC